ATCAGATAAATAGAGGATATTACACGGTGGCGAGAAGATATGAATTTTATGTTCTCGTGGCAAGAACAATATCTCACTCGTTCGCTTCGCTCCCTCGTGAGATATTGTTCTTGCCACGAGAACATAAAATTCATATCTTCGAGCCAACGTGTAATGTTCTCTTATTATATGGAGAAACCAATTCAACAAAAGCAAAAGGCGGGAATCGTGACGTCATTGAACGATACGACACTCACGAAGGTGACATACGGAAAATACGCCACTCGGGTCCCGGATGAAGTGGCGTATGGAATCTACGAGTGGTTTAGTTCCCAGTAAAACACTCTTCTCCATATAATAAAACATACTCCAACATACTCCGTATAGAAAGTCAAGTCTGAAAGAATTTTAAAATTTGAAATGCACTGCCTAGGAGCCAGAGCTAGAGTCATTGACAGAAAATATAATGATTCCTAAAGCTGAATAAAAAACTTATAAGCGTATAAAAAGAGAATATTTTCACTCGATCAGTTTCAAGGAAAATCTCATATCTTTGCTACTGAGACAATAAACCAAGACTTGACTTCTTCTTTCTTCCATTTATTTCGAAATCTCAGCGTCACATATTAAACGTCCTAACGACCTGAAGTTCAGATTTTCTGTGTTTCAGTGAGTCGTACTATAGACTACTGAACTTAAGTTGAGAAGTGAGACATGCTACGATGTCGTGACTTCACCTTTAAGATGTGGTAAACAGCTGCAGTTAGTTTAGAAGTTGCCGAGGGATAAAGTTTCACGTCTCAAATAAACTTCTGGCTAACATGGAGCCATTTAGTTGTTCTTCCTGTGTGCCTTGGACACTTGTCTTGTTGCTAGATCGAACAAGTTAGGGCAAGAGCTAGACTAAAAAAATACAGTAATTCATATGGCTCAATAAAAAATATAACTATACCTTATATATGAATATAATACTGGAGATTATTCTCGCAAAGAAACTGCCAAGAAAAATCTCTACTCTTCGTGATTCGGATAAACCCAGACTTGCCTTTTTCTTTCTTTACATTATTTGAAGAGCTCGGCGTTATATATTCCACGTCCGAGCGAGCTGAAGTTAATTTTTTTCAAGTTGTGTTTGGGCGAATCGCAGGCAGGTTGGGAAGAAAGCATATTTGTTTCCTGGGTCTTGAAACTCGTCTGTTTGAGACATGCAGAGATGTCACTGATTTAACTGATTTTTACGTTTAGCCGAAACAGCTGGAGTATTCCTGTTATTAATGAAAACGTGATTATGTGACGATAAAGTTTCTTACCTGACACGTCTCAACGCGGAATAAGCTAGTTCCATACACTTCCAGTCTGGCTAACACTCACCTACTAAATAGTCAGTGTTCTCCGTGTCCACCTCTCAAACTTTTCTTGTTGCAAGATCACCGGCGTTCAAACGAATCATGCAGATGTTGGGAAATACAACTTGTATTTTATTCGTCTTATTGAAAACCTGCTATTTCAAATTTGCTAAGTATAAAGTTTCTTGCAGACGCTAGCATACATCTAAATATACGCAATGCGCTTGTTCCATACCCTTCTTGTCCAGTGAACACGCAGCCAGAGCTAGAGTAAAAGAAAATATAATGGCTCATTAAGCTGAAAAAAAAATATGAGGGTATTATTTGTGGAGAATATGATAATGGTAGAGAATATTCTCGCAAAGTACATTGCACCTAGCATGCGAAAACAGCCGTCCTTCTTCGCTCCCGGCTCGAGTGTGCGAAACGCCACTCGGGTAGGGAGCGAAGAAGGGCGGCTGTTTTCGCAGGGTAAGACACGTTCTGCGAAAATGGTAAAGCAAATTTGCATTGGTTTGATTCTACGCTGACGAAGAGCATGCCAATCGACAAGTAATTTTCTTACTATAAATGTGTTGCAATATCCCCCATAGAAAAATTTATGGATTCTACGCTAATGTGCACTCCGCCAGAAAAGGAAAAGGAAAGCTTATGCCTGTAAACCTTCTTCACTGCCTCCTTGGTGAATGGAGGACACCGCACAATACGGTCAATACCGTCTAATCACTGCCCAGTAAAGATTCTGAACAGAACATTGTCCGCATCAAATCTCACGCGCTCAGGACCGTTCTAGGAAAATGCCGCGGCTCGGTCTTTCTTTTAAGGATCACGCCGCGATTGATTCATTCTAGAAAAGAACTCGGCAGAACAGTCGAACCTCCTCTAACGGCCACCTCTCTACAACGGCCACTTTCCTCTGTCCTCATGGTGGCCGTTGTGTAGAGGTTCGCGTTTATTCTCCGGTTCTCGCACGTGACCAACAACTGAGCGCGCGTGCTGTACGTGACATGTGTCACATCTGAACCTAGATGTGAGCCCGGTCTAGTCGTTACCAAAATCCTATAGTTCAGAGCCAGAGTCGCCGACGCCCATTGTGCAGAACGGTCATAGGTTCCAGTCTTATTGTTTTTGTTTATTTACGGTTTTGTTTTTTCAATTAGTTTGTATTGCTGTCTGTGATTGACGTATTTCACGTTTGTCTCTAAGTTATTCCGCTGTAAAATGATATTCTTTTTCAAAGGAAGCACCTGCTCCGAGTCATCTCATGTCAATATCTATAAACATCGATATTGCAATCATTTCCAGAGGCTATCTGAGATGACTCAGAGCAGGTATCTAATTTTTTTCAAAGCTGAAGCGTCTTCAACATTCTACACGTTCCGGCCGGAGAGAAAAGGGACTAAGGTTGGAGCTACGCTGAATTTTTCATGCCTATTTTGCTTTTTTGTTTTCTTCTTTTTCTTTTCTCTTTTATATTATCAGAATAGTATATATTAAGAATGACTGTTTGGAGGTAAGGCAATTAAGGTTTACTTGTTGTAGTTATGCCCTGAGCTGTTATTTTAATTTGAAGCAGCGCCGTGAGTAAAACATTAACTAAAATGTTAAGCATTACGATGATCAAGCTAGATCTGTTTAGGGTACATGTTATTGTCTGTTTTCGCCCTTATACAATCATAAGTAAGAAGAAATGTTATTCCCGTCCTCGTTCGTGGTTTGGAAACGATGTAAAACGATATTGGCGTGGGGATTTCCATTAAGCAGTCATGGTGGCGTGAGTGCATGTTGAGTGAGTTTAAATTGTTTCACTGCTGAAATAGGACGATTACTATCAGTTCCTTCAATCATGAACTATTACTTCAAGACTTTTGCCGCCTTTTGCTCCAATGAGCTCCCTTTCAGAGATGATTTCGTTGTTCATTTAGGTTATGACGGATGTGATCTGAATACCAAACTAACAGGAAGCATAGTTGAGTGTTCATATTGTATTTACATATTTTGAGCCTAATTAATAAAATGTCGAGGAAGAGAGGCAATAACCAAGAAAATTTATACATGTTGGGAATTAGCGTGCGTCACATATTGGCGAAATATTGGCCTTATTTGCTGGTTAATAAACGAACCACTGGCGAGGTCCATAAACATGCAAAAAAGAACGAGACCAATATTCTCCAATATGGACCGAACAAGCTAGCTCAATAAAATATTTATTATAATGGCTCTTTTTAATCTGCTGATAAATTGATGTGACTCTGCAATCTATTTTCATAAAACGTTTGCGCAAAAAGTAGGCATTTATTTACGTTTCTCACGTCGCTTTTGTGGACATCTAACTAAAACTGTCCTTGAAATATGAAAGTAAAGAGATTTCTTCTTTATAATCAACTGGTATTTTTTGCACAATGAACTGAAAAATCAATTCGCCGAAATAAGTTCAAGAGCGGTCCATCTTAGCGGTCAGCATTGCAAAATTCAGACTGCGAAGTGAACCAATCAGAACTTTCCTTTTCCTCGCGGACCAGTTCAGCCGTAGAAGAGCCTTGAGGCACGTAGGGACCAAACATGATGAAATGTCCGCTTCAAAGGTTCGGTGCCATGTCAGACAATAGTCTTCACACGTAAACTGTTTACAGGGAAAGAATTTCCAAGAATCCATTTATTCATCTACTGTAGAGAAAGGCATTTCCTTCGATTTTTTGGGAACGTGACTGACGTCATCGTAGTGCTGAGTTTCCCGCAAACTATCGGTGTCAAGTTTATTTTTATTGCGTCGATGAGACTCGCGTGGATGGTTTTGCTTATGTTTTGAGTTCTAAGGAAGTCTTTTAGTGGAGAGAGGTACGTTATAATGTCATTGTGAGTTTATTTATAATCGATACGTTGGTTGTAAGATCTGTGAAACTAAGTGCTTCATTTATTTAGAACACGTTGATTCATAAGCTCCACTTGCTCAAGTTAAGAACATTTCAGTTACGCTAGACCGGCCATCGTGAAGAAACAGCTGAACAAAGTAATAAATCTAATGGCGGATTAGGCAAATGTAGATCTCTTAAAGAGCGAGAGAATATTTCTGGAAACGAATGGATTTGAAGCACTGATGAAATGTAAACTCCTAGACTGCGAACATTTTGACACGTAAGAGGATTGAATGAAAGACTATACGAAATAAAACCGGAAGTCGATTATCCAGGCGCTCCGGCCGAGAATTTCAAAGCCGTAAGTCAAAGAAATCAAACAGATCCTAATCCACTTCTTCAAACGTACCCCATCGCTGTACATTTCGCGAGATTGAAAACAGACTGAGTGGAATATGCGACGCCGACGAAGATGAACTCAAGTATGAATAGTTTTCACGTGACGTCATCTCTTTCTAAAATCCAAAACTAAAGAGCCACCAAAGTTTTTATCCTCATCAGGCATAAGAGGCGGTATATTTATATCTGTTTACAGTTCTACAGCTCAATAGCGTGCTTCGTTTGGAATCCAGAGCATTTGAATTTCAGGGTTATGGAGGTGCGTGACACAAGGCTATGATCGAGTTTGTCGAAAAATATATACTCTTTATCCCATGATTTTGAGCCTTTTTAGAAGTTATAGCATTAGGAAAAGTGCTTATGTAAATGCTTGTTTGATCAGTACTGATAATCAGTCGCCTAGATAGCCAAAGTAAGTTCAAGATGTTTACACTATTTTCCGGTCGCCATATTGGTGTACCACGGAGGTACACCAACATGGCGTTTTCACACTGGGCTCTGTAAATATCTGCGAAACATTTCGACGAATATCTGAAGTTTAGGGAAACGCACAGGCCTAGAACTTGGAGAAGTGTCTTATTTAGTTATCTTCTATAACATCATAATTTCATAGCTTTTTCCACTGGATGGTTTTCGATTTATTTTTTTATTGCGTGACAGTGAAAACGATCTATAGCCTTGCGCACGCTAAACTCGAAGTTAAAGCCGTAAAGAATACTGAAGAAGACGGAAGTGAAAAAATTCGTCGAGAAAGAAAATTTACCAGAAAAAATGGGCAAAAAATACGTCTTCAAAACTTGGGACACTTGTATCTCAGTCAACTGTAGGTAAATCACTGTTTTGACAACAATTGATCAATTCAAGACCCTTTCGAAGAAAGACACAATAACCGGAGTTTTTCTGTGGTAAACGAAGGGCCCGTGACTGCCCCACTGAACTTTAATGTAGCCGATGAGACATCTGCCTCCCTTGAGCAGAAACGTTTGCCTCCTACACCCAGGTCACATAATCCGTTCAGCCATGATAACAGCCATACCATCCTGTACACTAACCAGCAACCGGGACAACGCCAAACCAACAAAGCCCTAACTTACCTAGCCTGCAGAGCAGGCGAGATTTTTTCGAGCGAGCGCTCACATCGTAAAAAGTTTAGCCGCCATCTAGAATTTTTCATGCAGTGGAAGACTGGAGAGAGAAAGAAAGAAACAAAACACAAACCGCGGTGATAAACATGGAACCAAAACGCATGTTAAACAAAGTTAATTTCCTNATTTAGTTATCTTCTATAACATCATAATTTCATAGCTTTTTCCACTGGATGGTTTTCGATTTATTTTTTTATTGCGTGACAGTGAAAACGATCTATTGGCAAAGTTTGAAAAATTACTGTACATAGAGCCACCTTAAAATTTTGAAAATTTCGGTTTCGACCGCGTAGTCCCAGTCCTGGTCATATTAATTTTTCTGAAGTCCACACCTCAACAGAAAAGATCCTGAAGTCCAGGTGCAGATTCCCTCACAACAAACTCAGACACTGACTACCATTAGGATCAATTAGCTGTATCTCTCTGCACTAAAGCGATGATCTCATTAATTTGTTTGTCATGACTAGTTTTAAATGAGTTGGGTCAGTGAATCAGTCATTTTATGGTCTTTAAAAAGCTTGTTTCTTTAAATTTTATTCCATTTTTCTATTTTTTGTTCATTTTTTGGCAATGCCCTTCCTTCTGGATAACTTCGATCCCTAAAAAACTTGTCTGTCAGGGATGATAGCAATCAAACAAAAACATTACTAGCACCTGTCACAAGGTGCTACTGTAAACTTACAGTATAAAGTTTGGAAACCTCTCTAAGTGGTGTCCTTTTTTATGCTGTCCTAGCGCTTCTGTAAGGGCTGTCAGCCATTTGAGCGATTTCGGTTTTAACAGTCTGACGCATGCTAAAGAGTATGTGTCAGAGAATTTGTATTGTGGAAAACGTGGATGTAAAGTTATGTAAGTCAACTGGGTCATTGTTCAGCTAAATCTCACGTCAACTAAGATGGCAGCTTGATTTTCTTCGTACATTTTTATCTCTGGAATTCCCTTATCTTGGTTTCTTTAGAGTGACATTTCCCAATTCCCAGCTTATAAAATCATCAAATCTCATGTCCCAGTCATAATGACATCCAGAATCTTGTCCTTCTTTTCCTTAAAAGTCCCAAATCCTGGCCTCCAAGTAAGCCAAATCTTGGATCCCGAAAAGCCTGTTGCATTCATTTTGGTGAATCTTAACTCTTTAGCTTCTTCTAATGTCTATAATGTGAATTTTCTAGCAAGGCTGTTGTTAGAAACTAATAGGCAATGACAATATGAAGAATAAACTTGAATAAATACAAGTGACAACAAGTACATGTACAGGATGTATACAACCAGTGATGTCACAAGGTCCTTAAACTTGGTTTCAGAGTCCAGACACTGTTTTTCTTCCAAAAAATTGACTTTGCCAGGTAAAAGCAGCTCTTTCCATTACGATTTGGCAAAAATAAAGTTCACCAGTTGGCACTGAACCTTGTTTACAGTATTCATCACTTGAAAGAGTGTTGATTGTCCTATTGTTTCCTTGCATGAAGTGTTTTTGTAGATACACCATTAAAATTGACATTAGACCACATCCAGTAAGTATTTTTAGTGATCCTGTATTAAGTGACCAGGGGCCTGTTTCTCAAAAGCCCTGGAAACTTTTCGGGCCCGTAAAGCCATAGCAAAATCTCAAACCTTACGATTACAGAGCTGTTTTATTCACATATTCTTAAGAT